CAAAGAGAGAGCACTTGAACTGACAGCCAGCATCTACTACTGACTCCTCATCATCATTGAATCAGCGCCGCTCCCATTCCCGCCTTTCTCCTCCTCACGCTGAGGCTGGACCTAGGCAACCCCAATCCTATAGAGGCTGAGTTGGTAGAAGGTGGCTCTCAGGCTTCCCCTGGTCTTCCCATGTTCAGTCCAAATCTCCTCAAGCTGAGCCTTTCTTAAGGACCTGCTGCCCAACCTCTCCACTACCCTACTGCTTTTCCTCTCTGCCAGAGAGCTAGTGAGGGCTCTTGCAGCTTCTGGGTCACACAGGGAAGACCAGAGACTACTGGAGAAGCTCCCAGCAGTGAATCAGGCACCATGGGTGGAGTTGCAGGGAATCTGGGATTCTGCTCTCAAAACTGATGGCCCTTGTTTGTGTTGCTATGTTCATCCTTGAGAGAAAATGGAAACGTGAAGATTAAAGGCTGTCTCTGAGCCCCAGGGAGTCAGCTCACAGAATTATTTGGGAATAAGTTTTCCATCTTCTCCGGGAGGCCGTCAGGCTGGAGTTATTTTGGGAAGGAAGATTTAATATGATGAAGTTACTAGACGGGGTGCATCCCTGTTTGCAAATGCTTCCTGTCTGACTCAGATGTGACTAACATTTCCTGCAAGTCATCAGAGACACCACCAGGGACAGCGTCATAAAAATGCAGGCTAGGATCTCAGAAGAATCTTGGTTTCTCCAACGCTCTTCACCTTTGTCTGCCCCACAGTAAACCCAGTGGGTCTATCCTCAAAATATGCAGGGACCTTGCTGTTTCTTTCAACCTACCTCGATGTCAGCCTGGTGGACAGCAGCACTTGACCACACCCCTGCGATAGCTCCTGCCCCCTTCTGGCCATAAACAACTCAGAAGACAGAGTAGTCTTGCTAGAAGTCCGGCCAAGTCCATCCTGTCTTTGTCATCTGTGGCCACTCACCTCATGCCTCCTGCTGTCCCAGAACATCCCCCAGGAACTCTCCTGCTACTCTTCTTTACCTGCCCACGTCTGCTGCTTCCTCCCGGGTCCTCCACTGTCTCCAGCCATATTGACCTCAATGATGTTGTCTGTCTATTTCTCTCTACCTGAAGTGCTGCTGTTCCTGGCTAGCTGTCCATTTCTCCATCACACCTTTGCTTGAATATCACCACACCCTCCTGGGCCACTCTGTAAAATGATACCCCTTCTCTGCTTCGGCTGCCTTGACAGCGTTGGTCACCACTGGCATGCCACATGTTTTATGTTGCTTGCTGAGAAGACTTAAGAATAAGCGTGTTTGTCCTGTAGTCCGGAATCTGGATTATTTCTCAGCACTTACTCCAGTGTTGTAAATGTTTGTTGAAAGAATAATTGTCTATGAGTGAATATGGTGGCTACTCTCACAGGCAGATTGTGTCATGGTCACTGGAGGACTAGATCTTCATTCAGTAGTATGGCCTTTATTAAGGTCCATGCAAGTCTGTTTCCTCAAGGTTGTCTGACTTGAAGCTGGAGGGAGGGGTCAGTGGTTAATGTGGGGAAGGGGATGATGCAGAAGCATGAGTGTTAAGATCATTCCCTATTTTTCCAGAAAAATCTAGATTCAAGTCCCAGCACCCACTTTGTGGCTCACAACTATATGTAACTTCAGTTCCAGGGGATTTGATGCCTTCTTCTGGCCTATATGGGCACCAGGCATGCATGTGGTACAAAGATATACACGCAAGTAAAACACCCATACACATTTTTAAAAATCTAACCCACAAGGTATCTTAGACAAGAATGCACAGTGTTTAAGACTATGCCTGCTCCATGGTGAAGCTTGTGGTGACAGCTACACACCATGTAGGCTTCAAAGGGTAGCTTGACAGTGTCTCTGTATGAGTGACTGTGGCTGAAAGAGTTGTCAGCAGGGGGCACCAGAGATACTTAGTTCAAGGTTCAGCTTGTCTCTGCATGTCACCTATGTTGTCATTGGCTAGCCACACATTCCTGAGCTTATAGCACTGTCATTCTATGTCATGTGACTGTATATACACGGTATTTGTGAAGCTAAGGAGCACTCTATGATTCTCTCTCTCTCTCTCTCTCTCTCTCTCTCTCTCTCTCTCTCTCTCTCTCTC